GTGGGGGAGCCAGTGAGAAGGGCACGGAGAAGCAAGGCTCCTCCTGGAGGGCTCTTCTCACTGCCCCCTGGTTCCCCAAGGGCTACACACCCCAACTCGCAGGCCCCGAAGAGAGAGCTGATGGGCGGCAGGGCTGGGTGGCAGGGCTGGGCGGTAGGCATGGAGCACGGCCGCGTGCTTATGCGCACCAGGCCCTGGCAGGCGGTCTGAGCGTCTGCTCAGAATGTGAAGTCATGCTTCTGTGGATGGGCTGTGGGGTTGGGAGGGCGGCGCTAAACTTCTGGCTTGCTTCCGATTTCCCTAGGACACTTGGGATGCAGCTTCCGTCTTGGCAGGACCGGATGGGGGGCTGTTGCTGGTGGCCAGACTGTCCTGGCCACACCTCCCATTTCTGGAGTGGCAGGCAGGTCGCCGCAGAGATTGGACCCAAGGGGGGAAAGACAACCTTGTCTGGGTGGTAGTTTTAGGGAAGATTTGGGGCCTCGTTAGCCAGAGACATGTGGCCCGATTGAAGTGGACTATAAATACCCTTCCAGAAGGACTGCTCACCCTTAACTGAGTGTGGTGGTGGGATTCTTTGGGGCTTGGCTTTTCCTTTCTCTTGGTTTGATTGGAAGGCTCCCTCCCACCTCCTATTTCTTTATATATGTGTGTGTGCATGTGAGTGTTTCTTCATGAACTTTGTTCTTGATTTCCATCCCTCCCCTCTTGAGCTTTGTAGAGTTAGCTCCCCCAGGTAAATTCCTAAAGTCTCAAGGCTCACTTTATTTTCTTGGCAGCTTCCTTGTATCTCTTACATGATCTCAGCCCATGAACATTAATCAACAGAAAACCAAATCCATCATTATGGATGCTGCCATTGAGAAACCGCTCGGGTCTTTGCCCTCCCGTTGTCTTATTCTATGAAGTGGGACTCAATTTCCCATAAGCAGAAGCAGAATCTCTATTTAAATCCCTCTTACAAGGTCTGTGTGAGCTTCCTATTTATAGTAAAATCCTTTTTATAATGATCTCATACACAGTACCAAGAAATTGCTCATGGCTGGGTCAGGCCATAGGCCAGTAGAGCTGTGGTGTAAGCCTTACTTAAAAAAAATTCCTTTCAGAGCCTCTGGAATTCTCTGGAGAAGTGTTTTCACAGAGATTGGGACAATAAACAGGATAGCCCAGTACGGATTACTGTGGTAGGGACATGAAATTTAAGTTCAAAGGGAATTTCTGCTTTTATCAGGCCAATCTCAATCATTTTTATCCCTTTGGGCTTTCTAAATGACGTATTGGGTGAATCAAGTTGAGTCTAAAGAGATTTATGAAATGTTTTATATGCAAGGTGTGGCCAGGGAGTGTTTGCCTCTGGACTCTCCAGGAGACAGAATCTCTGGGGACATAGACGACCCAGGGGTGAAGCCAAGACCATAATCACTTTGGGTTTTGGTTACATCATCTTCAAATAATCCCCGCTTTACCATGTTTTTGTGAGAATCAGTGAAACAACGTACGTAAAACCTCCAGTGGAAGATCCGTCATGGTTTTATAGCGTAATAAATGTCTGCTGCTTTTTCTTTTCAAGAAACTGTTTAACAGGAGGGAGGCTACCTGGGTAGGAGCAAGCTGGCGTCCCCTTCTCAAGGACAGTGAATTGTAGTCTTATGCTTTCTTACATGTTTGTGTACAAGATGGTGTTTCCCGTCCCATAGTAGGGGTGTATGGGGTTATTATTCCAGCAACCCAGGGCCCTCAGCCACCCACTCTTGTTTGCTGTGGGAACTAGACCTGACACTAGGCCAGATGACTGACCAATCCATCCGGACGTGGACCAGCACTTCTCTCTGAGGACTTGGGAAATAAGCCGTGTCGTGAATGATATTCAGAGCGACAGATAACTCTACCACAGGGAAAACAAACACAGTGCTCTGTCCCCACTAGGAGGATGTCCCAGGGGTGTCACTGGGCTGTCTGCTCACATCTCTGCCATCCTTTTCTAAGCCATTTGTCCTCTGCATTGTGGTTAACCATTTCCTGGGTGTAGGGCCTATAGGTGTTTCAGTGATGAGTTAGATATGGTATCTGACCTGAAGGAGGAAATCATTCAGTACAGGGAGTAGAGGCAGGTGTACCCATGTAGAAAGAAGAGAAGGGTCAGAAAGTGATGTCAAGAGAATGGCCTCCCCAAGGCCTGACTGGTCCTTCTGGCTGGGGACCTGGGAGAGCTCTTGGGAAAACCCTCACCCTGAAACCAATCCTAAATACCCAAAAGTATGAGAACCAGAACCAGAAGCTTTTGCTTCGTCAATCCTACGCCATTTGACCAAGATGAAACGAGGCTCTGAGCTCACTTTTAGGAGAAGAGTGTAGGATTTTGCCAAAAATGAAGCATAGGTATTCACTGTCACTTTCTCTACTGGGTCACTGCTAGACTAAAATGGTACCCCTCCCCTCCCCCAGCCCTGACATATCACAGCTCCACACAACAGGGCCTTCAACTGGGGTCTTAGCACCTTCTTTACGCCCTTGGCCAGGCACTTTGTATGGCCAGCAACCAACACAGATATATGTGGGGATCCTGCTCTGATTCAGCCCTCTCAGAAATTTCTCTTCATTACATGAATTAAATTCTGTTCCTTTGTTCTTTTTTACACAGGACCAATTTCTCTATCACCATCTGCTTTGCCGTATTAGATCATTCCTGAATTTTTAATTTCTTGCAGTATTGGAGCCCCTGATTCAATGAGGGTATTCTACCCATGGTTGTTGGTGGGAAAGACCGTTAAGAATCACCCAGGTGTTCTTATACTCTATTCTACTTCATCCTCATAAATCACAAGGCATACACTGTGTTGGAGAAAACCAGATTCTTTGGTTGCTTAAAGATTTTGTGAAAGGAGAGAAAATCTGACATAATAGGAAGTTCCTAAAAGAACAGGAGAGGTAGATAGTGAGCCTGGGGCTCCTGAGATTTTTAGTGGGATGATACACGTGGATGTCTTTGATCTTTGATTGCTTTACATATGGAAAGCTACCTGAGTTGTGACTGGCATCTCCATATTTTCTTTCTAGATACTATCACTCATGAAAGTTAGCTCTGGCTTACACTCAGCCCCGGAATTTCATACACACCACTTCTCCCTGTTCCCCTTTTGATTGATTTCTAGGATAGTCTCCTAATGAGAAAATCCCGAGTTTATTTGCTTCATAGACATGCTTGGATTTTCTTGAGTTCTAGAAATGTTGAAGATGGCAAATGAGAGGGATGAAAGGAGCTTTCTTCTGGATTTGGGCAATGAAAATTTTAGAGGACAATTTTTGCAGGGGTACTGATTTGGGAGATTATTTGCAAAACCGTTTTTTAATGACCTGTAGTGTCTTTGAGATGCAGTGAGTGATAAAGAAAAAATCCACACCCAAGAGGCCATAGGGTGTGGCCAGCTCCTCTGTCTGCCCCCAACAGCCAACACCTTTTTTTTGCTTCTGCCTCCCTGAAGATGAAAATCACTGACTTAGAAACTGATTAAACAATCCAAATAGCAACTGATAAATGGATTAACTCTCTATAATGTAATTCTGGGAGCTTTTGTCTTCTGCCTTCCCCAGGTAAGTTTTTCTATTCCTGGAGGCAAAGCAGAGGCATGGAGGAAGCGAAGGCCAGAGGGAATCATATTAAAGTGGGTGAATCCGTTTATCACTTACTGTCTGGATGGTATTTCTGCTCACATATCTGCTTCCTTTTACAGATTCGTACCCTACGGGACCCTGATTAATGTTAGCCAGTAAATAATGAAAGATAGCAGCAGACCTTGGGTATAGCGAGGAGGAAGATACCCCCGTGGTTTAGGCTGATCCCATGAACAGGCAGACTTTTCTTCTTAGTTGCAAACAGGGAGTGTTCATGTGACAAATGAATCGCCACAATAGGGATCAAAAAACAGGAGAATGGAGGCATTTCTCCCCATGCAAAGAAACCTGTCCAAGCTTTTTCAGCCAGCCCCTAGAACTGAGAATGATCTCAGTGCTTGAGAACGTGCCGTTCTCACAAACTTTGTTTTTTAAGATCACGTCCCAACATTTTTCTTGGCCTTTGGATAAGGACCTTGGGCAGGGGTGGCTTAGGAAGGTCTTGAGCCTCAAGGCACGCTCACCAACTCACCATTCAACTTACCTTTGGCAAGAGGCTGAGCTGAGCGCTCAGGTCTGGTTCTAGGCTCTTGAGGTTTGCGGGTTAACTAGTTCTGGGTTCTCTCCACACACGTGAGTCTAGACTTCAGGGAGATGAGGCTGAACAAGAGTGGACCTTTGTGTACCTGGCAAGATGTTCATCAGAGTCCCCAGAAGCATCTTCGGTGTCCTTCCTGGAAATGACTACCATCAGTGCTTCTTTGTTTTCATTTTCAGGGACGGAAGGAATATCTCCCAAACAAGAGCATCTTTCCCAAGGGCAAAACCTAGACATTGCCCATTCTCTCTCCCACTCATCCCACCACTGTTTATGGTTGCTACCTGCTGTTTGAGGTCTGAGCCCTGAGGGCTGGTTGTTCAGAGATGAGAGAAGTTGACTTGACTAGTAGGCCTTCTGGATGCTTGGTTCATCCAGGAAATGCGATCGGAGGAGCAAGGTAGTTTCTGTAAAAAATATTGCAAATGTTGCAGAAGTTAAACTAAACTCTGGATAGCTTGCAAGGGATTAAAACTATTGAGTTGAATGTGTGCCTGGGTGGCTCAGTTGGTTGAGCGACTGCCTTCAGTGCAAGTCATGATCCTGGAGTCCCAGGATCAAGTCCCACATCAGGAATCCCTGCTCAGGGGGGGTTCTGCTTCTCCTTCTGACCTTCCCCCTCTCATTCTCGCTCTCTCTCATTACCTCTTTCTCCCAAATAAATAAATAAAATCTTTAAAAAAAAGGAACTATCGAGCTGAAGAGGATCAAAAAGAAAACGTAGCGCAAGGGCCAGTAGAAATGCATGTCAGCCTAAAATCAGATTTTTTTTCTTTTAATGTTTCTATAGCCCAGAAAGGACCGGATGGGACAGTCATTCCCAACAACTACTGTGACTTCTGCTTAGGGGGCTCTAACATGAACAAGAAGAGTGGGCGGCCTGAAGAGCTGGTGTCCTGTGCAGACTGTGGACGCTCTGGTGAGTGTGGCCCCATCTTGCATCTGTGCCTGTAGAGCAGGAGCTGTTTCACTTGTATCCCTCCGCCATCTTGTGTGGGGGCTGGAGGGTGGAGTGGAGAAGATGTGGTGGTTATTCTGAGTGCAGAGGAGTTTTCAGGTCATTTTGATATTTTTCTTCTTTGAGTCTTAAGAACCAAAAGTTGTGCCCTGGGATGTAGGAAGAGGGGAAACGAGATTTTGGCTCGTGTCTGGCCTCTCCATAAGGTGGATATTTCTTTGTGTGTATTGTCGTGGACGACAGTGAAGGAATGTCTGAGAAACACCTAGAGACACAGGCAACATGCTTCCTTGTATCGGATGGTGTGTACCTAACACAGAGATGTGTGTGTCTTATGGATGTGGCTGGGGCAAACTGGAAGAGTATGGAAACAGGAATGTAGGGAGAGCAGCTATGTCTTGAACTGTGGGAGTCTGAAACCCTGGGACTCATGGGCAGCTGGGTAAAGACCACCTCCATTGGCTGCACATCCCATTTTCTCATATAAAACAGACAAAAGAGACCCTGATAGACCAAGGGGGCCAAAGGTCAGGTGTTCTCAGGGCTCATATGGAGTCGACTTGGTATGTTTTGAAATTTTCATCTTTGAGTTCTCCAAAGACTAAAGTGACAAAAGCAGATTTGGGTCTTATTCTCTCATTCTTAAACTGAGTTCAGGCCTTCAAGTTTTGTTTAAGATGTTTCATTTTGCAATTCTAACCAAACCATTATCTTTGGCTGGTTGTGGTTGGTTGGTGCGACCTACTTTTCATATTGTTCGATGTGCTAGTGAAGCCAAAAGCACAAGGTAGGGAGGAGAAATGATCTCAGGTTCATCTTTAGTCTGACCCAGCGCTGACCAGTGGGTGAGATGCTGTTCGGCTGGGTGGCTGGTGTAAGCAGTGAGAAGCCACTTCTCCTTCCCTTATTTCTCCCTAAGGTCTTTTCTGCTCCAAGGCCCGGGAGATGGACCGAGGTGACCACACCTGGGTTTACTGTAACAACTCAGTTCTTCCCTTGCAAACCTGAACTTCCGTCCTTTTATATTTGATGTTGGAGTTGTTTAGGGTTCCATACTGACTTGGGTAGCAAATCTGTAATTGGAAAAGGACTGTGGTCTCTATTGCACATACCCTCAGCACTGAGCTCTTAAGGACCTGACCGGGTGCCCATCCATGTTCATTTGTTTTCCAAACATGATACCTCATGCTGAACTCTTTACTCTGCTGGGGCTAGCTTAGAGGAGAGGGCTCACGTGACAGTGCACTCTGGGTTTTAAATACTTAAAGTGAATAGTTTTAGAAATAATTAAAGAAAACGAAACAAGTGAAATTCAATTCAGTGTTTTTTAAAAGCAAACGATCAGACAAAGTCTCTGTCGCCAGAAGCAAAGTCACCTGGCGGAGCCATATCCTAGGCAGAACGTGATGGACTCTTCTGGTTTGGCGTGCATTAGAAAGGGCAGCTTCAGAATGCTTACTGTAAGCTGCTTGAATCTTCCCTTTTTCTTCCCTACGAACAATGGGGTACTTGGATCTGATCCACGGGGGACTAGAAGTGGGCAGTTGGTATTGTCTATCCAAAGCCCCTCTCCTCCCAGCCTTTATTCAGCATTCCTCCACTCAACCCTCCACCCCCCGCCACCCCTCTCAACCCAAGATCTGTCTGCTATGTGACGTGACTCAGGGGCTATTTGATACCAGCCTAGGTGTTCTCATTGCATTTGCCGATTTTGGTGGATGATTTAGTCAAGGTCTAACTCTGATGCTCCTGAAATAGTCACCACCTTGGGAATAAACAGGTGGCATTAGCCCATGAGGCATGCTTGTGAAGGCAGGTGGGCGAATACTTCTCTAGGGCCTCCTTGGAGTCCTTCCAAGGAAGAGTGTGAAGCTCAGAAAAACTGTCTTTCCCTTCCCATCTTCCCCGCTACCGCTGTTTTCTGGGGAGAAAATGAGATTCTTGAAATTGACACCATAAGTGAAACACTGTGACCTCATTCGGGGGCGGTCCTGGGTCCCATTTACAGTGTGAATAAGTTTAAACCTGAGTTTTCTAGATTTCAGGACACTATATTTTATTAGGCTTTTGAAACCCCTAATTCCTGCTTTTTTGGTGCTCTGAGTTAGATTGGACAACTCTGGACTTTGTGGAGTCACGAAGACCTGGGTGTGTTTAGTGGCTGGAGGGTGTGCGTGTGTTTGTGTGTGAGTGTGCACGTGTGCACGTGTGTGCACACAGGTGTGTATGTGCACCCGGGTGCACATATGCGGGTGCAGATCCCTGAAGTTTCCTCCAGTGGTTAAAGAAAACGAGAGACTCTTCTGTTGCCTACCGCTTGTCAGACTTTGCAACTTCTCGCTTTCAGTGCAAACGAACTACATGCTCTAAGTGCAGAACGGAAAGGGTGCCATAAGAATGGGATTAGAAACGGGTACAAATAAAAATAAAACGGATGGAGGCTTGACCATCTCGAGTGGGTTATCCGACAGTAATACCTTTGTAAAGCTACTGTCAAAGCGAAGGACAAACAGTGTTCAAAGAAACACCAACTGAAAACACCAAAGAAATACCAACCAGGCTTAAAAACCACTAAGGCAACTCCTTATCTGGGGCGGGGCTGAGCGGGCATGCATGCGTATGTGTGCGGACAGAAGAGGAGAAGGACAGACTGCGGTTGAATCTGTCACCGTCAGAGCTGTGGACACATGCATTATCGTAGAGATGGTGTCTTTCTGGGGCGGGAGGAATCCTTTCCCCCCGAAATGTTGGCTTTGTCCCGTGACCCTGAATCCCAGTCGCCGGGTGATGCCCCCAGCTAATCCCTTTTGGTGTGAAAGGGTTTTTGGTCTTGCTATTAAGAGTAACGTAAGATTGTAATAAGAATATTAATAATGCTGTCTGTTGCTTAACCCATGTGCTGATATATTCATCATACATGTCAGCTCATTTGGGAGGAGAAGGCAGGAAGGAGGAGGCAACGGCCGCAGCACGCACCACGGAGGACTTATTCGGTTCCACGTCAGAAAGTGACACGTCAACTTTCCACGGCTTTGATGAGGACGATTTGGAAGAGCCTCGCTCCTGCCGAGGACGCCGCAGTGGTCGGGGTTCGCCCACAGCAGATAAAAAGGGCAGTTGCTAAACCCACGGGACAGACTCTCTGGGCGACTAGCCGTCGCCCTCTGACTTTGGTCACTATTTTGGGTCTGATATACTTTTTTTTTTTTTTTTTAATGAAAGTCAATTTTAGGTTTTCCCTTCATTCTTGCTTTTTCCCTCTCTCCTTCCACACGCATCCTTCCCACTCCCTTGCCCCCGTGTCTTGGGTAGGTACAACAGAAGCACAAACTACTGAAACAAAACAGAACAAAAGAGCAGGATAACAGTCCTTCAGAGAGATGCCATCATGACGTGCTGTTCATTTTCCGTAGAAGTGGGAAGTTAGGTGGATTGTCTCTCTTTGGGGGAGGTGGAGGGGTGGGGAATCTTTTTGACGTGAGCAGAGTCAGTTTCCTCACTTTTCCCATTTATTGGCAAAGTGAAGAGAGGAGGAACATTGGGTTTGGAAACAAAGAATGAATAACATTAAAATGATTATTTATGTGTTCTAGCTATTATTAGAAATGGACCTTTTTTTCGAGAGAGAGAGAGAGAGAGAGAGAAGGGAAATCAAAGCAATGGAAGCGATATCCTGCTTGGGAGAGAGCCTCTGGGGGAGGGATTGATTCAAGGACACCTAGTCAGGAGGATTTCCTCGCTGGGAGATGATGGCACTTTTGTACCCCACGGAGTGTGTGGCTCCCTACAGCAGACCCCCTCCCCATTTCTGCTCCCTGACCTTTCCATCTTCCTCCCTGCTTGCAAGAAAATGTCAGCAGCTCCTGGGAAGTCTGGGCCTCCGTGTGTGGCCTCCCTCCAGTGCCTGGGCCCCGCCTGCCAGCTCCTCCTGGGCTCCTCCCAGCACCGGCATAGCCGCGGTGGTGTCGTCCCTGGGCATCTCCTCACTTTCCTTCTGGTGAAGAGCAATATCCAAACACAAGAACGGAATACAAACAGAAAGTCACGGACTTGGCAGTGACAAAGCCACCCGAGGCCGCGCTCACGGACGGAAGAATGATACCTCACAGTGTACGTCCCTCTCCCCTGGCCCCTGTTGGCAAACATAAATTCCCGTTGGACGATCAAGTCTCCCGTGTTTCTTCTTCTATTTTTTTTTTTTATAGTGCCCTCCAGGCACTTGTTTTATGTTTCCAATAGCACCTCCTGAAATAAACCAAAGCAACACTTGTTCAAGGTCCCTGGGGCGATGGAGAAGACCGTTCACCTTGTTGGCAGTCCCGAGAAGGAACAGCTGTGCAGTCCTAGTTCAAAGGTACGTGTCAGCTGGCCTGTCTTACAGGGAGGGCAAAACCATCATAGTTGTTTTCTGTTGTTGTTGTTTTTTGTTAGTTAGTTTGTTTTTTCTTTCCTTCTTTCCTTTTCCTCCCCTGGCTTGTCTTTTGTTTTCCTGGGCTCACACCCCCTTGTTAGTATGGGCCTGGCTATGGGTGTAGAGTGTCTTCCCTCCGGCCCTCTGCTTCCTGTGTGTGCATGCTTCCCCATGTGAGCCTGGGCCTAGTGTGGCAACTGAGGCTTGCTTGGACTGTGGGAGGGGCCCTGTACGGAGAGTGGTAGGCTTCTGGCTTCTGGCTTCAACTGTAAGAGAAAAGTGGCTGGGGAAGTGCTGGGCTCCCTCTGCCTTCCTTGGTGCACCTGGTGGGTGGAGACCAGGGATCTGAGGCTGGGGCTGGCTGCTGTGCTTGGGCGGAATGAAAGAGTGCGGCCACCGGGGTCTGCATGTCTAGGGCGGTGTTCCTTGCTCCACGGACTGACTTAGCTGCCAAGGGGATGAGTCCACATTAAAGAGGACCTCTGATTAGGAAAACACTCAACTGCGCTGATCTGAAGATCCTAAACTTCCACTAAATGTGGTCAGGGTCTCCGGCCTCCATGAGAGCACAGGTCCAGAGACACGGGTACGGCCATGGGGCTTGGGTTGGGAGAGCCAAGTAGCCGCCACCCAGGCAACAGGCTGCTTCTAAGTGTCTGGGAAGATCTACTTTGACAAACCAGGCTTTGGGAATCTTCATGAATGAGACCTCTCATTAAAATAACAAACCCACTGAACAAAAGCCAAGACTAAGCAAAGAAACCGGCGAATGGACCCTTTGTGCTTCCCTGGTAGCCTGAGACAGAAAGAACTTCTACTTTTCTCCTGCTTAAAGTGTGTAAGTGCTGGCCTGGGCATTTGCTCTCAGTTGTGAGAGAATGAAAGGAACAACCTCATCCATTTTTGGGATGTCCTGCCTAGTCTCTGTGTGGCCCTGCTCCTAGAGAATATGGGATAAACCCCCCATGTTGTAATATTCCCGTCCTGCATGCTCACCTGTGTGAAAAAGCCCACATAGTTGGTTCCCGTTGACTTCTGCTAAGGGGGTACAACCCGTTCTTGCTGTCCTTCTCCTCCTTGTCGTCTGTTCTGTTGCTTTGACTTAGATGTTGGATTCATAGCATTGCGACTTGCTCTCATTGGTGAAGTGTGAGCTTCTATGTTAATAAAAATATGTCCAACCAGTCTATACGATCATTTGAAATCTGTGTAGTTGTTTGTAGTTGTAACATTTTCAATGACAGCTTGCCTTTGAACTTGAAACTAAACAAAACCCCCAAAACTTAAATTATAAAAAGCCACCTAATTTCAGAGTCTAGCTTGGGGTTCTAAAGGAGAACCAAAAGGAAGACCTGTCTAACAAGGCAACGTCCCATGGAAAGATTTATCTGAGGGTGGCTGTTGCTTTTATATTTTAATTTTACGAGCAGAGCCTGATCTTCAGTTTCTCCTTTTGGGAGTAGTAGACGTTCTCATCTTTCTCAGTTGGTGTGACCAACCGAGCATGGTAACGTATCCTAGCATGGCCTGAGCTCCTGGTCTCACCTTGCTTATAGTATCTTCCAACAGACTCAGAATTTACATCCTTTCAAAACAAAAACAAAAACAAAAACAAAAACAAAACAAAACAAAACAAAAAAACAAGAAGAAACCAGAGGGGACTTTGAAGATGATCAAGTTCAAATTTTCCACTTTTCAGCTGAGAAAGATCAATCCAGAGAGGTTGAGTGAAGTTTGAGGGAGTGGAGTGAACATGGCTTTGAAAACAAATGTCTTAAGGTGAAGGAAGGAAACTCAGAGGAGGCACAGGAGGAGGCAGCTGGCTGTCGTGGGTTTCCGAACGCCTGCACAGTTGATGTTATACCTTTGCCCCCCTTTCTCTCTATAACAACCACCGACGTTCATATACCTACCAGGCATTGTTCTGAGTGCTTTCCCTAGGACAGTTCCTTGAGCCTCATGATTACCCCAGGAGGTAGGTGCTTGTATTAGCCCAGTTTACAGATATGGAATCTGAGGCTTAATACTAAGGTTCAGGGATGTCCTAAGGCCTCCCAGTTAATAAGGCGCCTGGTTTTGATCCCTGGCAGCGTGACTCCAGGACCTGTATTCCTTTTTTATTGTTCTGTGGTACCACTTTCATGGTCCTATATATGGAATATAGGAATATATGAAATACATCCATATCTATTTTTTAATTTTTTATTTATAATTTTTTAAAGTTTGGATATCATTAGTTTGTTATAAAAGAGAGACATGGAAATTCTTTACCTGGTGAGAACGTTCAGAATTCAGTGGAATGACAGCTTCCTGTGATGCCTTTTCAATAGTGATTTTTTTTTTCCAATCTACATACTTCCCAACAATGTCACACATCGTCTCTAAATAAAAACTAATCCTTGTCATCTAGAACTACTTTCGTGCCTCTGTATCTTGGGGGAAGACCTTTATTTCCAACTTTCATGCTGACTGGTTGAATCTTTCCACCCCTTTCTTTAGAGCCTGAGCCAACAAGCTAGTACAGTTGTTGACAATACTTTTTCTTGATTTTTTTCTGGAATCAGAATGCCTCCTTTGGTTATGGTTTTGGCTGCACTTCTTTCAACTAATGCTCCTTTTCCAACTACTACTTGGTCAAAAGGGGGAAGATATAGAAAGGTAGGTAGGTAGATAGATAGCCCTTGCTTTTTCTCAGGTCCAATCAAAGAAAGGGGTGTTGTAATGAATATAGCTTTGAAAGATAACCTTATTAAAGACAATTTTAAAATGGAAGAGTAAACAGTTAGATCCCCCAAAAGACAATTCCAATTAAAATTCTGTGCAGAATATTGCAGAGAACTCGTCTTCTTTCTAAACTATCAATTCTAGAGATTCCCTCCTGACTGATGTCTATTAGGAAAAAAACTTTTTTTTTTTTTTTTGTGACCTCAGGAGTTGTAAGAGATGTGCCAGCAGTCAACACATCTATCATTTTGTTGTTGCTCTTGTAAATAAGTGTCACTACTCAAATTCAATATAAAAGAAATTATGATCATCAAGATAAAAAAGATCTGACTAGCATCCTTGGTCCTCAGCTCAGGAAAACACCACCTGAAGTGCTTCAGACACGTCACCAGAGTTTCCGAGTCTTAGCCCAAAGATAGGAAAACCAAAGATACAGAACTTTCTAAATTTGTTACAACCTTCCAATCCCCTGGGGAGAACTGTTGATGTAAAAGCGATGACTGTTGTTGTCTGTCTGATGTTTTTTTCCCACCTAGAACAATCTACTCCTTTATTTCTGTTACTGAGACTGTATTGAGATCAGGTCCTCTATCCTGTAACCCTGGGAGTGAGAAATATGCTTTTAATTTTTTAAAGGTACTTTAAAGTCAGTAATGCAATTTGCTACTGGTATTTTAGAGAGAAGGATTTAATAAAAATATGATGTTCACATCCATTGTACCCCTTTAAACCTTCCTGCTTACTTTGCTTCTCTCTACGTACCTAATGGGCTGCGGCCTGATATTGCCTTTAGATAGCACTTGAGGGAACACAAGATCATTACTCGGGGAGAGAACTAAAAGCTGTTTGGAGGTAGTCACTACATGGTGGAATAAAATTAATTAATATTATCCCAAAATGCCTCCTGTTAAATCTGATGAATATGTTCTTAAACTTGTACTTAAAGTTTGAACAGCTTCATGTAGTAGGAATTTTTCTGCAGGAGATTT